GGGGGAAGGAGGGAGGGAGGGAAGAAGGAGGAAGGAGGGAGGGAGGGAGGGAAGGAGGAAACAAAAGTAAAAAGAAGTAAGTTTGCCCTTATCTTTCTTTCCTGTGCCAGGACCGTATAGAGGTCCCTAAATGGTTTGATGCAAGCTCATGCACAGTCCCACCCCATGAGTCCCGCCAGTCAATGGGAGGGTTTGGCACTGAGGTAGGTCCTGCTTGCAAGGCCACGACTTTGCAAGAAGCACCCCAGAAAGGAGAGCACCGTCCACACCAATGGCCTGAGGGGACGGACCACCCATGGGAGTCGAAGGCCAGGCAGGCTCACACAGCAGGGGGGTGGGAAGGGGCAGAGAGGGGGAAGGGCAGGGGCGGGGAGACAGGTGAGCATCATTACCTGCGTGGCATCAGTAAAGCGGCCATACAGGCACGCGCTTACGGTTAACCCTCTGGCCGGTGTGCAGGGACGTCAGGGCGGGAGATAGGACTGCGGGGCACAGGGATTTACCCTTTCACGTCCTCTCACCTAAAATCAAAGAATCTGCTGTAAGAGGGGAGCAGCCCTCTCTTACCTGACTGTGCTACAAATCCTCTTGGATGGCTTTCCTCTGACAGAGGGCCTCCCCCCACACAGCCCCTTCCCCACAAACGCCTGCTTGTCCTGATGAAGGATGACCAGCTAAGGATGACCCGGGACAAATTGCTGGCTGTATTCGCATTGCTGCCTGTTGGTCAGGAGCTCCTATTTCCCCAAACACTGGCCATGACAGTGAAGTGGGGCACATTGCCCCAGGGGAGGAAGGCTCAGGCCTGGCAAGCCAAAAATTACTGCTCTTTGTCTTATTGCAGTGGGGCCCAAGTGACCAGCCAGCCAGGGATGGTGGGGGAAGGGGGGGGTCAGCACTTGCTCCAGAATTCCTTGATTGGCTGCTCTTCTGATTCTGGCCTGCCTCTCAGGGAACCTGTCCTGGAGTCCTGGAGCTTTGGGAGGGTGTGAGCAGGGGGAAGGGTGGAGTAACTCCAAGGGAGACTAGTCAGGCCCCTGTCACTGCACAGGCCTGCTCCTTTGCAGGATCGCAGGCACAAACTGAAGAAATGAATATGCAAGCCACTCTCTTTTGCCCAGATGGAGGCCGCCCGACCTTCCTCAACCTGGGACTGGCCCATTTCAGACCTGAAGTGGGGAGAAAGTCTGGAAAGGAGATACTGAGGTTGAGGGCTTGTTGACTGATCATCTCTCTCTCCTGAGGGTCCCCTTCTCAGTGCTTCAAACCCTTTGTTCCCACAGAAATGATAGGAAGAATCACGTGAAGAGAGCAGCCTATCCGTAAAGGGCTTCCCTGGGGAACCCTGACACCAAACATAGAATCCATTTTAAAAGAAACCTAATTTAGATAGATAAGGCCCCTACTGGATCTACTCTGTTTAAATTATTTTGGTATTACACAGAATATTTCACAAATACTTTTTTTAAAAAACACCTTCTCTAATAATACCAAAATTCATAAAATTAAAAGATTGCTTTGTTAAAATTAAAAAAAAAAAATAGCTAGACTTTGTATCAAAGCTCATCCTCCAGGAGACTGGGCTGAGACTGTGTTCCCTAACAGTAGGAACAATTCCTTAATCTTTGTCCTAATGGTGCATCTACCTGCCTGCCCAGGAGTCAGGAAATCAAAGCCCTTCCCAGCTTTAAGGTTCTCTTCCAGCTGCGAGAAATCACTGTTTGGGGCACCTATGCCTCATTTTCTCTTGCTTATGGTCTACCGCCCGGAGGAGGGGAACCCCGTGCCAGGGGCCTTCATTACGCTGGTGCTGAACAGAACCAGGGATGACTCCCCCACAGACGGAGCAGGCAAGGTCATTTGGGGCAGGTATTACCAGGCCTGCAGTCACTGCCTTGTCGCTCTTTCCGTTCCCACTGCTAGCTCACCCTGGCTTGCCGGGACTGCTTCCATGCCTGCCTCTCTCCCTCCCAAATCCAGCACTGCCCACCACTGTCCCCCAGACCTTCCACCCTCCCTTCACTTAGCCTTGACTTCAATTCAATCAGAATCTGCAGGAGATTCTGGCCCCTGCTTCCTCATTCATCCCAGCACCTTGGGGCTCTAATTCCATCTGGCCCTTGACTTCCGGGGGACAGAGTTTGGGGTCCCCAGGGCCCAGGAAGGCCCATGGCAATGTGCCCTGTTAGGTGGACATCAAGTGACAGGTGACTCTGGGGCAGACAGGATGGGACATAATGGAAAGAGGGAACTCAAGGAAAAAAAAAAAAACAAAGGTTAAAAGCAAAGAGCAACGATTTTTAAAGAGGGGAAGAGAAACTAAGAGTCTCAGTGGGGAGAAAGCAATCAATATGCATGGAGAGGCAGGTTAATTAAATATGGATAATGCAATCAGCCCACATGGGTACCTTGAAGAGGAAAGAGAAAAGCAAAAGCAATACTCACTGTCTTTGACCAGTCCTCATGGCCTGCAGGTCTTTGCCAACTGGGTGGTCAGAGAGGCTGCGGGTTAAGGAGTTCTGGGGAAAGAGTAGATCTTTCTTTTAGCAGTCAGATCCTTGATGGGTGAAGAACATGTGTGCATGAATGCACAGGCACACTCGTGCGTGCACACACACATATACACACGCATGCATGCACAACACACCTCCCCACCACTTGAGCCGGGCAGCAAGCGGCCCCGCTGAAAGCTCTTCTCTCTGCTTGTCACATCCAGTAAATACTGAAGCAGCCTACACCCAGCGGGCGGCGGCTCAGCTCCCGGGCACAGTCTGCACGCCCATCCTCATTGGCAGGATGCAGGAGGTGCCCCTGAGCAGAGCTCGCCTGGCACTCCTCCCGTACCTTCCTCTTCACTAACCTGCTTCCTTGCTGCTCTGGCTGCAGCTCCGGGAGAAGTCCCCACAGCCCAAAGCTGCCTCCCTCTGCACCCAGAGGCTGGGCAGGGGGCAGCAAAGCTGTAGGTATTAACTCTTTCCAGCCACCAATGAGCTGAAAACCAAGTGTCCAGGGGGCCCTCTTCTAATGAGCTCTGCTGCTGGCTGAAGGCTGGTTGCTGCTCAGGGAGCAGGGAGCATAAAGATCTTGCCCCAGACAGCTGCTGACAGCAGGAGCCAAGCCGAATCAAATCTCCTAATGAGCCAGGAGGAGGGGGGCTGTCTTGCTGGGTGTGATGTGATGTGATAAATGCAGAGAGCAAGAAAGCTACGGGGCAGGTCACACATCTAAATTCCACCCCCTTTCTCCCAATTTCTATTGTGCTTCACTACCAAGCCAAACCACACAGCCCTGAAATTACCCCCTCCGCCACATCCCAGCTGTCCCCCTTACTCGACAGAGGCATTTCTCCCCCAGTCTGTCTCTACTCCCACCCCCCAGCACCAAACACACCACTCCTCACTTCTTAATGAGAAATTTCCACCTCCTCTGCCTCCTCAAAACATGTAGATTTCCAACTCTGTGCTCCTGGTTTTTCCTGCAGTGGAAATTCACCTCTCTCCCTCACCCATCACCTAGCGACTTCCCCGTTTGCATTTGTTATGAGTGAGACTTTTCCCTTTGTTCTGCCCAATCGGCACATTATCCCTAATTTTTCTGTCTTCTGCAATTTTTTCTTCCAAACGACCTTACCCATATAGATCTTCACACTGCCTGTTTCAGCTCCAGAAGGAGGACTGTCTCTTCCTCTTGCCCTAGTACAGTAGTTCTCTGAGTATGGTCCTTGGACCTGCAACGTCAGCATCACCTGGGAATGTGTTAGAAATGCAAACTCTCAGGCCCCACCCCCAGACCTATAGAATCGTACTCAGGGGATGGAGCCCAGCCTCCCAGGTGATTCTGATGCATGCTAAAGTTTGCAAACCACTGCCCTGGGACAAAGCTTCCCTTCTCCCCATTCCACTCCAGTCTCCTGCTCCCTCTCAGGAACTAGCTCCAAATGCACCTAACCTTTACCATAAGTCATTTTGGACACCCGGAAGGCGGCATTTGCTGGAGGCAGCAGAAAACTCTATGGAAAGTGATGGCTTGATACTAAAAATATTAGATTGCATTTGTTTAACCTTCTATAATGTAGAAAGCATGTTCATGTATTGTGACTCAACAACCCTATTCCATAGCCAGAGAGAATATTATTATCCCCGAGTTACAGATGAGAAAACTGAGGCAACTCAAGGACCAGACTTGTTTTCTTAGAACTCTTATAGCAGAGCTCTTCCCACCACGTCATGCCGGGACCCAGAATTCCTGGCAGATCTATTGGTGGCATAACCTGTATTCTCCCAGTGACAGGAGTCTGCCGCAACCCCACGTTGCCTGACGAGAGGATGAAATAAAAAGTCTGATGCTGCCTCCACAGTGACTCATTGTCTCTCTTGCAAAATGTCCACAGTGTGCCTCTGTTAGGTAGAGGGAACTTAGTGTTATGAAATGAGACGCAAAAGAAATGTTTCCCTGCCTTGAACGCCAGTGCTAGCCAGGATTTAGAATTGAAGCATAAAGAGAATCCTTTGCTTCTGGACATATTCTTGATACACTGCCCCATACCAAACAGGTCCACAGATAAACTGGGAATAAAAGCCCAGTGATAAGCACTTCCCTAATCCAAGATTAGGTTATACGGTAAGATGGAGCCTCCCAGATTCCATGCACACAGCCATTGTCCAACAAGCCCTCGGTATGTGCCAGGTACTGGGCTAGACATTGCGCTACTGGTAACTCTCGTAACAAACTTAAAAGGCTGACATCTTTATCATCCCCATTTTACAGATGGAGAAACAGAGACAAATCAGTTACAAGTGGCAGAGCTGGTGCCTGATACCAAGCTTCCTGTTCTCAACCCTTGCTCTGCCCCTTGCTTTAACACAAAGGTGGCATCATCACAGGACTCCTCGTTCAGTGCTAAAATAGTGAAATAAAGGCCCCCTCCGAGTCTCATGCTGCCCCATCTGGCATCCAGGATTTAAAGGCACTGAGGAGATAGGGCAGGGCTGCGGAAGGGCCCAAGTCTCTGGTGGGGGCTGACTAATATTAACTAGGCATCAGAATCTTCAATTAGCCTTTGGAGAAATAATATAGTCCTAGGAAGTCAATAAGCCAACCCAAATGTTTAAGGAAAGATATAATTATTAATAACATTTTAAGAAAGAGCAGGAATATAAAGAGCAGAGGGATAAGAGCGTGTGGACATGCATCTAGCAGGAGTAAAAAGAAAAAATTTAAACTTTTTTTTAAAGCAAAACATTCCTGAACACCGAAGCGTAACCACACAGCACCCTAGTTTGAGAAGCACAGACCTAGTACAGGCCCCCTCTCAGGGAAGGCCTCTATGTTAAATCTTCCTTTCTGCAGAGGCAGGTGCATAAGGAATTCCAGGGGCTGTTGGGGGGGGGGAGGGGGCGAGGCTGGCGGCGAGAATTAAGCAGAACCGAGGGGGTAAGCATTCTGGCATGGTCTCCTTTCCTGAAGGAGAGAGATAGGCAGAGGCAAGCAGGCTGGAGTACTAGTGAGGAAGGCACTCACCTACTTGGACTCTGTGTCCCAGGGCTTATAGCCCTGGCCCAGGAATAGAGAGCTCTGGATTCCTTTCTGGTTACTGCTTCTGAGTTTCTGGCTGGAGACTGGGCACGGCACGTTTCCGCTGGCGGCGACATGTGGATTTTCCCAGGAAAACAGGCATTACAAGCTGTGCTCTGCCTTCTCAGCCTGCCCTGCACCTCTCAGCTCTTCCCATTCTCGGTTTGCTCCTCCTGGGAAACCCAACCTTCCCAGGCCTGGGCCGCTGCGTCTCTCTGGCATTGCTGCTCAGCCCTGCCTCTCATGAGCTCCAGACTGGCTTTTCCAGAGGACAGCTAGACAACTCCATCCCTCTCAGACTCTGCAGATGCAACTGTGTCAGAAACAACCACCTTTGCCTCCAAATCCTCCCTTCCTGCCGGGCTCCCTATGCTTGCTAATGAAATGACTCTGTCCTAGCCCCTCAAGGTAATAGGTACAGGTATCTCTGGCTTCTTTTTCTCTTTTGCCTTGTTGAATTGATTTTTAAAACTTCTCATTATATTTCTGAAATATTTCTCAACTTTATCCACCCCATCCATTGACACTGCCGTTCAGAGGTTATTGGGCACCCACCACGGCGTATGCCTCTTCCACGGTGTCCTAAGTAACTGAGCTTCCTGCCCCCATGTCATTGCCTCCCCCATTCCCCATAAACCTCCTGGCTGCTACACTACTACCAGAGTTACCCCCTGAACAGGTACAATAAATGGTCTGTATAGTCATTTTTGATGGGCTTCATGGTAGCGATTTGTCCTGCCTGACATTCTAACAATTCGGTCCCATTTACCTATCCAGGCTTATATCCCATTGTGCATACACACAGGCCTGATTCCTCCGCTGCCCCCTCTGCCCAGAATGTTCCCCACCCTTGCCCCCGGATCTGCCTCTTAACTCCCACTTGCTTCTCTAAACCTAATACCTGCAAGATAAAAATTCCCCTTTCCAAAGCTTTTCAGAACGGCCTCAATCAGAAGGAATCCTTCCATCCTAACACCACCACCACATTGCTGTGTGACTCTCTGACAGCCCGTAACGGAGTCTGTAGTTTATCCTTGTGATTTATGTTTTCTGATCCTCCCAAATGACTACATGTCCCACAAAGACAGACTCTATGACTTCCTCCCCTTGCTATCAATTCTCATTGCCTCGTATGAAGCAGGTGTTTAATAAATGTCAGCTGCATTTGATTTTGAGTTCATGAAAAAAATCTGAAAAATCACCGAGGATTCCTTATGGCGGAAGCACTTTAGACTTCTGCAGTCTCCGGGTCAAGTCTGAAATCGGTCTAATGCTAATGACTCTCAGGGGCAGCAGCATGAGTACCTAAGGCATTTGCAAACTATTGTTCCCCACAGCCTCGTCAGGGCAGGGTGGAATTAATCAAGAGGAAAAGGAGCACCTGGCATTGTCACACAGGCCACAAAAATGTAATTAAATTGAAGATAAAGGGAATTAAAGTCTGCAATATAATATTTTTAAAAGCCATGTTAGTAGAGGTGCAGGTTTATTGCCAAACGCCCGCTGTGTGTTTATTTAATCAACATACCACCTAAGACAGTACCATATTAAAAGCTTTTCATAAAACAGTCATTCAGATATTAGATTTGAATTCTGGTCAGCATGCTAGAGCTCTTCCACAAATCTTTTAAAAGCAATTTCCACTTTGTAGCTTCCTAGTAACAGCAGAAACATGAATCAACATATGCTGCATTGATTTGGGGTTTCCATGGAGACTGGAAGGACACAGGGAAAGGAAGGACAGAAAGAGGCCACTCGGCCCAAAATTCTACTAAAAAAAAAAAAAATACGTCTCTATTTCATTCCTCTGAGTATTAACAGCCTCATTTCCTGCTCATCAGTTCAAGCATCCGGATATTTAATTTGTAATAAGCCTGCTCAACTTCTCACAAGAAACATCAGAAGGGTGGAAAGAAGTCAGCAGTCAAAGGTGTCAGCCCATGAGGTTTGCAAAGAGAACCGAACAAGCACAGGATCTGGAATGGGAAGAAAGGACCTCTGGTCCTAATTCTGTCATTAACTAGCTCTGTGACACTAACTACCTTAACTAGTTAGCTATGTGATCCCTAACATAATGAAGAGCGTTGAATTTCAATTCCTTCTTCTGTAAAACCCAAATTACCTGTCCTGTCTATTTTTCAGAATGGTTGTAGGAAAGAA